CTTCCGATTAGCTAATTGCACAGTCGACGGCCATCGGGGTTTCGGTCCGAACCACGACCTCGATGGCCCTTAGATGACGTACCATAGTTAAACGCACGCATGAATACATGCGTGGCCCTACCCACAGCGGAGGGCCCAAACCCGTGGGTTCTGGCTAGCCCACCGGTTCTGCGTCAGATGAAGCTTTAATAGTCTCGGGACTGAAAGCAAAAACATCAGTTAATACAAGATACAAGAACTTATGACCTAACTAGTTATGTATGTATGCTTAACTTTTTGGCACGATCTACAACCTAAACTTTTGTTCGGATTTGACAATTAAGGTGTTATTAGATTCGTCCTAGTTGGTTTTGGACGTGACAGAGTGGAATATAATTTGATATGGTGTTCACCTGGAAAAAAAAATAAGTATTTTTATTGCAGTCGAGTCTTTGGTATATTTTATTATTTATGAGCTGTTTAGCTCTATCTTATATTTTTTTCTTAATTTCGGATTTGAAGCTTAGTTTATACCCAGTTTGCGATGAAATGGGTTCCTATATAGTTTGTAGCTACATCATCAACGTCCTTGAACGTTGGCGTATTATTAATTACCTATTTACCTAATAACAGCTAAACACGTGTGTGCTTGCATGATTATTTTGTACAGTACTCGCTATAATGACTAAATGCCGTTTTTAAAATAGTAGTTGTCATATGTATCATTAAATTTTATTGTTAAGAGCTTCATCCATTGCGAACACGTGACAGATTAAGAAGCCCGATAAAAAATAACAATAGTTTCATTCATAACCGTATACAAAGTGTAACGAAATAATTCTAAATGTCTTTCGTCACAAAACTGTGTGAAAATAAAACGATAAATCATAAACATGCCGACTTGGCAACGCAGAGTATTGGTACAGCAGGAAGTGCACAACATATTGGACACACTGATGTTAAATCGGGCGTGGAATCATCTCATCCACTTATAAATTTGATGTTTCCACCACACTGCGAATATTAAAAAATAAATACTGTACAAAATTACATCACCTCTGTGAAGCTAGAGAAGTCGAAAAGCGCGGTCGTTAAATACAAAATGCCCGATAGAAAAAAGTAACACTAATAGACTTCTAAATTCTTAAACATTTAATATAAATCCGTTATAACAATTGCATCCCGCTGAAAAAGCAATTGTAAGAAAATATATTACGAGTAGTATGTCTACTAGAAGGTAAATTTAATATTTATTTGCTTTACATTAATTTCCAAGGCAGATAAATAATAAATTTAATATAAAGTTTTAACAGGATCAGAATACCTCATAGCAATCAATAATAATTTAAACAACCAATAATTAGAAATTGAGTACGAATAGTCCATTAAATACATAACGTAAATACCAAAAACTTCAAATAAATTCCTCTTCTTAATATATTAATTAATTAATTCAATTAGAATATTTCCGTTTCCGTATGCTTTCGTTCCCATCATACATTTCATCAAAAACTTAGATTCAGACAATATTAATTTGAAACTAAATAAAATTGGGACGCGTAGTTATCGAGGCTTGTGGCAAATCAGTCACTGCTAAACGGCTAAAGGCAGCAGATGCACTTTATGTACGAATGAGGTCAGACAATCTTTTTTAACATGCTTGTATAGTTTTATACATAACAGTTTAAAGAATTCGCTATTACCATTTTTTTATCTGACACTTTTTACACTGTTTCATTTCAAACACTGTTTCATTCAATTAAAATGAAAGGGAATAATTTTCTATTATTTACGATTTTTGTCCGAATAAAAATCAAAGTCTGTTTTTTCGATTTACATTTATTCCGTAAATAACTTTCTCCTTTTCTTATAGAACATTATTAATTAAAATTTAACAATGTCATTCATAACAGATTTTACAGCAGATATCTTTTCTGTTCTGTTTTTTGACTGACTTGACACTCTCAAGTAACTCTGATTGGACGATGAACTATTTTTCCTATGAAAAGTCTTTAAATACATTGTCTGTAGACCACAAAACTCAAGATCTCATATTTGTATGGAAAATTATATATCTGAAGATTGCGTGAAAACACAATTTCACAATTTCTTGGTGAAAAGCTAACAGAATTCTCAGCTGGTACAGCCGCAGTGCCAAATGTATATCTTTGTTATTCTTCACTCTCGGCTATTAATTGGCCCGATATTTTCGTCCGTCTAAATATAAATAGAGGTTAACGCCGCAGGTGCTCCGATCTCGAGTTACTCTTGAAATTGTACGCAACAATCATTGAACACAGTTCACACGTATGTTTGAATTAATATAATATAAGCAGTCTCAATTCATCCGGCATCCCTGATATGTATGTCGCAAGAAGGCCTACATCTGGTGACAACCACTTCATACAACCAACAATTCCTTTTAACCTTTTTAACAAACATTATTTTCATTTGTATAAACACCATCATTTAGATATTTTACTTAAGATGAAAATGTTTTTGGATAGTATTTGCGTGCAGGTGGGACGATTAATGCAATTACCTTCGACGTTGAAACCTGTCTGATTCTGAAGAAATCGTTAAAAATAAATAGAAACCCGTTACTGATAGTTGGCAGATGATGAAATGTTCTAATAATTTATATACCAACGATTAATTCCTCCGCCGAGATTTCGTCCATGCTACAAATTTGCGGAGCTGACTGAATATGTAACTCGAATAATTTTGTAGTTAGCAATTCCAAGTTATTTATATTAAGTTGTTTACGATGTCCTCCGATCAAGGTTACGACCTGTACTAATGTACATTACTAATACCAAAGCAAAGGTTCAGTGGTGCGTGTAAGCTGCTTTGTAATGTTATAACAATTTCTTCATGGGCTTAGTAGTTCATAGCCACATTCTAAACGAGTTGATCTGAACCTAGACTTAACTCAAACCTTTTGTATGTCTTGGACAATTCTTTCTTGTTATTAAGACTTAAGAAACCTTTTTGAAAACTTGAACAACCACAGTGTTTTACCGGTTATCGTTTAATTAAATCTTTTTTTATTATAAAATTTAATTAAATCTTGTTCAGAGCCCTTATTAGATCCACGGTCTATCTAGACTTTTCATTATTTATTTTACTAGCTGTGAATTTCTGACGAAGTTTTTTTCTGTGGTGCGAGCACAAAATACAACTAGACTTCAGGCATATCGCTAACGGCTGCTGGCAACATAATCCAAAATAATCCGCCTATTTCGAAGCAGGCCGTGACGTAGCCGCTCGGAATGTTCACGACAACGCTCGCTATTTCTGTTATATCTTCCAGATTTTAAGAATGGCCGGCTGCTTTATGAACGTTTCTCAAAACTATGGAATATAAACTTTTTGGTGTCTTAATACTATCATTTTACTCTATAATTTTAGGAGACAAAAAGCTAATTTTTTTTTGTTGCAAATGTTTAGTTTTAGCTACCGTAAAATACAGTATATGCATAACCTTCAAGTTTATTTCAGAAAGTTGTTTCTATAATATTGTAATTTCTACTTAATGCTGTTGCTATATAGGTGTAGAGTATTATGTAATGACCTAACCTAGGATTCTTAAATTTTCCTAAGTTTACGCCATGTTGTATGATCCATATACAATATTAGTGAAATAACACAAACATTTCAGTGATAAGAACATTTATTCCATAAATTCATTAAAATATCGCTCACAGGTTTACAAATGCATTTCATTTCTTTACATTTAAAAACAATAATTTATTACAAAATAGTAGTTTGTTCTTTGACAGCTCTACTTTGTGCGTTTGCTTCGTTTCTGTTTTTATTTAAATAATAAAATATAACAAAATCTTAATAACTAATAATCTCATTACAGAACATTGAACTAGGAGATTCGATGTCTTCGAAACGCGTTCGAATTTTGATATTGCTTTAATTATATAACAAGCTAACTTAGTCTATAAAAATTACAGTTAATCATAAGCTCTATTCTAAAACATTTTGTTCCAACAATGCAGTAAAAAAATTCTAAAAAATGTGTATATTTGTACAATTATATCCCTAAAACTCTCGCGGAGGGTTTGTGTCGTATGTAGAAAGTGTCAAAACTGAAAGTAGCTAGATAATTTACTCCAGAAGCACCAATAAACAAAAAGAGATAAAATTGTACCCTCTTGTTATCTCTCTCTAACAGTAAAAAATCACAAACAAGACATTGGGTGTATAATAACGTGGCATCACAAACAATTACCCACAATTTATTTTACAGTAAAGCATATTTCTTATTCTATTCCACTTAATTACTATGTTATTTCCGAGTTAAAATTAAACAACCATTAACGATCATACAAAGCTCATGTCACGTATAAGGCACTGTTATTACTTTTAATTCGAACTTAGCAAGGCACTGACATACTTTGACGGGTTTAAATATTTCTGTTTCAGTTATTTACAGATCTATCACTTAAAGTAACAGCTACTATGTATAATTAAAACGTACATAAAAATTATTGTACTTAATCGAACATGGAAGACGATCTATAAAAGATTCCTAAGTGTAGAATATTTACAGATATTGTAGTGTTATGTCTTTTTAATGCAACAAATAATGTACTTTGAGTTCTTAAAGCGAGCTAAATTTAGAGTTTTATAATTAATCAGTCTGTAATAGAGCAGCGTTTTAACAACCATTGTAAATATTTTTTTTTTCTTTCACTCAAAAAACAAGGATGTCCGGATTTTTTTCGAATATCCTCTTGAATTAACTCAACTCATTTGCTGTAAAAAGTTATTTTAAAAGATCGCGAGATCTGCTTTATTGCAATTAAAATTTAATTGACATTGTAACTCGGCTATAAGTTATAGCTGACGATGGACAAATTAAAGTCCACAAATAAAAGTCGACATTTTATAGACCTAAAGTCTAACACATTTTGGCACAACCATATCAATGTTTAACACATACTAAAAATTCAAAACGTCATTTCTTGCACAACGGTCACGTGCAGCCGCTCCGTTGCACTCCGTCACTGAATCATCTGCAGATACTGGTTCTCCTCGTAGAACGAGGACAGCGAGGTCTGCAGGTCGTTCACCACCATGTTGTCGGCGCCGTGCAGCGGGTGGGTGCTGCTGGTGACCATCTCGGAGCTCTTCCAGCTCTCGCAGCTCTCCACGTACTCCAGCGTGCGCTGGTACGCGTCGCGGCGCATCTCGCTGCCCTGGCCCCTTCTGCGGCCGTCGGGCGCGTCCGCCTGCGACTGGCTGATGTCCCACACCTGGACGTCGCTCGCCCGGTTGTTCCTGCCCACGCTGCTCATGCTGCAGTCGGTCTGCTCCTTGGGCTGGCATCCATCCATGGGGCTGCGGGCGTTTGTGCGGCTGCCCGTCGACATGTGCGCGGAGCCGTGCACGCTCTTCGCGTTGTGCTTGTTGAACTGGTTGCCGGGGTAGTCCCACTGATTGTACGGCCGCTGGTGGTTGTAGTACTGATTGTTGTTCATCATCGCCCGGTTGTACTGGTGGTTGTTCTTCGGCGGCGGTGGGCCCATCACGCCCCCGCTGGGGTCGTACAGCGGTTGGGCGTAGCGCGCCCCCTGCTGGTAGAGGCCCTGCGGCTCCGGCCGCGCCTGCTCGCAGTAGCTGTTCGCCATCGCGTTGCCGTCGGTGCTCATCGCGGACGACCTCGACATCTGCATCGGATGCATCTGGCCCTGGCTCTGGTAGTTCATCTGCTGCTGGTAGTTCATCATATGGTTGTTGTAGCCCATGCCGGGGTTCTGCGGCATCGGATGCCCCGCCATCTGATTCTGGTTGAACTGCTGCATCATCTGGTACTGCTGCATGTTCTGGCCCCTCATGCACATGTTCTGTTGACCCTGGGCGGGATACGGCGGCGCTGGCCCGTAGTTTTGGTTTTGGTATTGATTAGGAACGTTAGAATAGTTTGTCTGTTTGTTGGCGCCTTTCGCATTGCAGTTTTGTCGGTTGCCAACGTACGGCGGAGGGACACCGGGCATCTGAGAGGGCTGGTTAAGGTTCATGTTCATCATCACATTCTGCGCTTGGTTCGGCACGGGGGGCCCGTTCATGCTCATGTTGGACATGTTCTGCACCATCGGACTGGTCAGCGGGCTCTGCAGCCCCGGGTGCATGGGACTGGGCATCCCGTGGCTCATGGGGCTGGCTATGTTCATCATGGGACTTGCGATGTTCTGCGACATTGGGCTGCCGATGTTGTTGTGCCGCGGGCTCATCATCATTTGGCTGGGCATCTGCGGGCTCATCATGCTTTGCATGCTTTGCGGGCTCATGGCGTTGTGCTGCGGGGACATGACACTCATGACGCTTTGGGGGCTCATGACGTTGTACACGGTCGGCGGACTCATAACGCCGTGCGGAATGTTATGCGGGCTCATCCCGCTTTGGGGGCTCACGGCGCTGTGGGGCAGGCTTTGGGGGCTGAGCATGCTGTGCGCCAAGCTCGGACTCATCACACTCTGCGAGCTCATGACAATCGTCTTGGGGCTAATCGCCGTCTGCTTCTGAGGTAGTGGGTTGTTTATTCTCATCCTGTTGGACTGTTCCGTTTGGTTCGCCGTCATCGTCTGCAGAGACTGCAGCGGATTGCTGGCCGCCCCGTTACTAGTGGGCGGCTTCGCGAAGTCCGTGTCGCATTTCTCCGCGATCATCTCTGGTATCACTTGCTCTTGAAGCGATGTGCCTTTGTCCTCTGGCGTCTTTACGGCGAGCAGGGACCCGCTGTTACCCGACATACTAACGTCTAACGATCTTAAATCGACTGGAATATCACTTATATTGAGATCACTACCTATGGCACCGAGATTTTTGAGGAGGGAATCGTCGCTGGTGGCGACGTCGCTGATTTTCTCGCTGGAACTGTTCGCGTTTCGCAAATCATTCCCTATATTGTCTTTGGTTGTTTCGTCTTTTTCGTTGTTGGGCTCGGCTTCCTTGCGGCTGGCGGAGTCAGTCTTAGCTGGTGTTACCGAGTCGGTTCCCAATATTGATTGGTTAAGATATTGCATCATTTCGTCTGGTATCACCAGCTTGTTCTCCACCATTTCGCCTTCAGCGACCTGTGTAACGAAATTAAAGTAAAATGACTGTTCAAAAGTACAATTTTCACCTATATTTTTGTCATAAAATTACACATTATCATTGCAACTTAAATGAAATATATCCTTTTACGAGTTTAACATTGGCATAGTGTCTCACAAAATTTCTTGATATCAAGGGCCTAGATAAGCCATTACAAACGTTATGGTGCTTAAAACTGTTTTATGAAACGGATGTTTGTTTTTGGATCCGTGGTAACGTAATCATCGTTATGAACATTTGGGTACATCACCTGTTCCAAGTTGACCTCCTGGTTGGGGTGATGAACTTGAGCGGTGGTGATGACCACAGTGTTAGTGGAGTTGGAGCGAGACTCCTTGTACGTCGTCGCCTCGTGATCGTCCTCCGTTTTGAACTGGAAGGGTGCGTCACCCTATAGTGGAAAGAAACACATTTTAAATCACGAAACACTAAGATACATTTAATATAATATTGTTAATACTGAGCATTCCAATTAATGAATATAAATTATTCGCAGTTTACATAAAGGCAGCGGTGAAGGAAAAACATCTTTCTTTATTCTTTATTGTACACAGAGTATAAGTGAAAACAAAGTTACAAAAAAAAAGTCCGATCCGCAGTGGGGTCATGTGGTTTACTATGATCTAAATCCTCTGCACAGTGGAGGTTTTTGCCTCGCAGTGTGGCTTATATATATAAGCTGTTACTCTATATATATAAGCTGTTACTATATTTGGGTTACTTCAAGGCAAGAGTGAATAGGCTTTACTGACCTAGGCCATTTAGCATATTCAGTTTAATCGCTAATTACCATGTGCTTTTCAAAAGAAGTGGACAGTATTAATTGCCTATACAATTAATCGATGTCACGTTTAGTTCCATCGACTTTTTAGATTAATGCAAATAAGCCATAATAGAGAATATTTCCATTTTCGGCCATTATTATAAACTTAGACTTTAATTAGTATCATGAAATATGCCTACCACTTCATCGGCACCGCAAGGGTACGGCTGATATCCTTGGGCCTGGTCGCTCAAGTTGGACTGCTCCGACAGCCTCCTCGCCTCCTCCTTCACCTGGACATTGGGGTCCAGCTCCAGAGCCAACTCCTCCGCTCTCACTTCCGAGCACGTCACACCGCGGAGGAGCACCGCCTGGGGACAGCAAAAAGTTTTAATATGCAATCGCCACTGATGGTAACGTGAAAAACGGTAGGGCTGCCAACATTTCTTCGATAAGCTATAATAATATTAATCTTCGATAAGCTTTTAAAAAATACAGTATATTGTTTGAAATGAATAATATAAAAAACCATTTTGTGTATTATTAATAAGTAGTAAGAACAACGTTTTTGTGAGAAAATAGTTTATTTGTTAACAATTTCGTTGCAACGAAACAAATATCCATACAACTGGCATATAATATTAGTAGCTTTCTATATATTGTTTCAAAAGTATATACGCAGACCCGAAATAGAGTGTACTACTGTGTAAATAATAGTACAATTAGCAACCCTAATATATAAAATAGTACAATTGGCAACCCTAATATGTATAATAGTAAAATTGGCAACCCCAATATGTATAATAGTACAATTGGCAACCCTAATATATATAATAGTACCATTGGCAACCCTAAACCCGGGTCGCAGAGATTCAAGTGACATCGTCTGATGATTATGCCCATCACCTGATTGCCTTGCGAAGTCCTCACAGCTTGGACGGCAGCCAGAGCTGAGGACGGCGCCGGCGCGTAGCCCACGCACGACACTTGACTAGATCTGAAATAGACGGCTCTTGTTATATTGGAATATTCCGATAGACCCCGATAGACCCATTGTTTAAATACATGTACAATATGGTTTGAACTGTCTAGTGTAATTAGGTTTTAAATCGACGGGATAGCATCCCTGTAGACACGAGCTAATATATCAGAGATGTTTACTAAGGACGTATAAACGATATTTATAATTATGACAGTTTTCATTATTTTAGTTGTAGAAATAAAATCAATACAGTTTAAGAAGGTTGTCTGATTGAGTCTAGACAAGCGTTGAGGAAACAAACAAGTAATGATTAAATTCGAAACAAAAAACAAAAGCGACTTCAAATATCTCAATCAAGTACAGACATTTAATTTCCATTATCAATGAAATTATGGGTCCACATGGGAGCGAAAGCGTATATAATAATACTTTCGCGTTTCGTCTGGTGAGTGAGGTAGCCGAAGCCCAATTTTCAAAAGGTTGTCAACGCATCTGCAGCCCTCGGGTGTAGCAGATGTCCATGGGTGGCGATATTCACTTAACATCAGGTGAACCGCCTGCTCGCTTGGCAACTTTTCACATAAAAAAAAGTTCTGAGGTTACAGACATAAAACTCTCATAGAACCTTCTTTTTTGCTGTCGGTTGAAAATAAGTATAAAAGTCTGTCGAGTAAAGCTAATTAGGGCCTTTATGTCGTTTGCGGGGGACACAGAGTCTAGCCCAGAGGGGCAGTAGCACATTCCCACATCCAGAATCCTCTTCAAAGAGACTGGGGATGGCTGTCGACTTATGCTGATAGAACGGTCTCCCTGGTTGATCGGGCTTTTACCTGCGGCTGCTGTCCGGCGAGAGCTGGTCGTAGCCGCCGTGCGGAGGGGGAGGGCGGGCCGCTCCCCCCGCGCCCCCCGCCCCCACCGCGCCCGACACCACCGACGCCTGGCTGCTCTTGCGCGAGATGTCCGACGACCTGGCACGTGAGCGTTCGTGACAAATTTGTGACACTATCACGCGCTTGCAACGCTTTAAAGCGCCACTTAAGGTAGAAATTTTTAGAAAATAAAACAGATGCGTCAAGCGTCGCTTCAAATTCGAAAAGCAATTTAGATAAAATACGTTGCGATTTTCATCAGTTTGTCAATGAGACGTTTCAGGTTAGTGGTTAAAGCCTTTGGACACGATTCCGGAACCCGCATCGGGTTTGATTCCCACAGTGGCAAAAAGTCTTCGTGCATTTTTTCCTACAGATTTTAATGTTTCACCTTAAGTGCAGAGAAATTATTGCAAATACTATCTCATGCTTATACATGTGAATAAATTATATCAAATAGTTCATTGCTTAGCAATCAGCTTTAGCATTGCAGATTTTAGTCGATAGGAGCACCACCAAATATTAGCATGGAATCCGCATTAGCTAGACATGTAGTTGTCTTGTACGAATTAACCGTTCCTTTACGACTAAGTAAGGTACGACCAAGATAAGGAATGATAAAGTACCTGGCACTATAGAGACTGCTACCGGAGGAGATTCCAGAGTCTCGCCTCGTGTTAGGTAGACCGGTTTTCAGTTCAACCGCCACGTTCGTGCTGCCTATCTCCGTCCGGCCCGGCATTCCTCCTGGAAAAGTAACGAATTTCGTTCATTGCAATATTCTTACATATGGGACAGGTAAGCTAATGCGAGCAACGGGCACTGCCATATTGGCCCTGGCTCTGCCGAGCGCATTTCACTTTACGCCTACTCCTCGGTCGGCTGTAATGCGACATGCGATAGATGGACGAAAATATTTATTACAGTGTAATGCCATCTATTGACAATTTGTTGATATAAAAATTACCGTCGTAGACTGAATGAACGTTGTTCTCCAAAATAAGATATCTTTCATATAAAATACTTATTTACACATAGAAAACTTTTTTGCACGGATCAACTATCAGTGGTATTATATTAGGTAAAAAAAAATATGTCGAAGACATGTGAGGTCCACAAATCCGCAGTGGGGTCGCGTGGAGTATGCTCTGGGAGGCGTTTGCCCAGCAGTGGGACATGTATAGGCTGTTTCTAGTATCACAATTACTATTGCCAGCATCAGACAGCTCACCGGCCGCGTGGAGGTCGTGTGCGTGCGGCAGCAGGCGCGCGGCGGCCGCCTTGTGGCCGAAGCGGGGCGCGTGGTGCGCGCGCGGCTCGCCGATGGCCACCATCGCGCGCAGCATCAGCGGCAGCTGGCCCACCTCGCCCACCACCTCCTGCTCCACCTGCGTCCACCGTCAAGCCGTCAGCACCTTTGCACCCTCGAGACACCGCCGTCCGTCGGTCGACCAGTGGGGGTCGAACCCTTATGTCACCGTTCGCGTGTCACCAGGAGTGATCCGACAACCGCGTTTGGACCCTCAAGACACCGCCATCCGACGCCCAACCCCCAACAAAACGGAGTCCGTCGATCGACCAGTGGAGGGTGGTGGTTGAACGACTGCGTTTGGACGGTCAAGACACCGCCATCCATCGATCGACCAGCGTGGAGGATTATCAAAAAGCTAACTACGCGTCGCCAATCTAGCGGTGCGGTCAATGAATCACCAGACCTATTTATCACCCTCAACATATCCAAATATCATATGGCAAACGGCAAGATCCGGAATATTTATCTGTTAATCTTCTTCCTTCACCTGCCCGAGTCCCATTTAAGTAAGTTGAGCACGACATTTTTCATTTTTACGTGAAACAAAGTCATATTAAACGATGTCAAGTCTATTTAAATAGTCAAAATATTTCCTTTCCTCTCTTTCCTACATCCGCAGTGTAGGAAGTCGAGTTAACGTTGTCTATTTTAAAGTTTATGTTCATTTAATCTTACGCCTTTAAAATCAGAATTTAAACGATGTTTTGTGTTGTGTTTAAACACCGATAGAGGTACTCGCCTCGCCGTCGAGCCTGAAGTAAGTTGCGGCGTTCTCGTCGCTGAATCCTCCGAGCCCTGAGCCGCCAAAGTCCAATTCGCCTCCGCACTGCGCCGACAACTGTACAACAGACAATCGTTAGTACGCTAAAAAACTAAATCTAACAATACTGACTGACATCTACTGATACAATCTTCTTATAAATATATTATGTGCAATGTGTTTGGGGACAGACTTACAACAGGGTATTGCGACATTTAATAGAGCACATTTTCCATTAAGTACGAGGACTTAAAAGCGATTTTCATTGTTTTATAAAGCGTGCTGGTATCTCGATTAAGTATGTAGTGTAGGTATTTCGTTTATGTAACTGCATGTGGGTATATGTTAATGATAACGTGGGAACAGAATACAGAATAAAGGTCAGTCTTGGCTCACTCGTGCTCTTTCATTAACGTCTCCAATTAACCCAACACAAACAGAGTGCATTTTAAATAGGTAACTTCATAGTTAACCACCAATTAAAAATGCAGTTTAACTGTCACCCAATCACCGGTTTGCTTTTGTTGCGTTCACATAATACCGTTACCGTCAACGCTATAAGACGGACGGTCCTACGATGTGTAACGAGCTAATGGGTTTCTGACGAAGTTGCCCCCTGCTATCGCGTCCCCTGCTCGGTGCGCTCACCTGGTGCGCGGGCGTGTGCAGCGCGTGCGGCAGGGGCGAGGCGGGGCTCTCGCTCTTGACGGAGGCCGAGGACGCGTGTCCCCTGCCCGCCGCCACGCCCCCTTCCTCGGAGCGCGGGGAGGACCCTGCCCCGCCGCCGCCGGACTCCGCGGAGTCGTCGCCGCGGCTGCAGCCTGTGAACGTTCGTGTCATCTTAGCCAAGCTATAACTATAACTTATCGTGCGTGTTAAATGTATGAGAGCGATAATAAGTCCAGGTGTTTCTATAATGCGCAGATGTGACTTACTGGACATGCGAGGAGGATGTAGATTTCTTCAAAAAAAAAAAAAAAAAAACAATTCTGGACATTTTAAACACACTGTGGGGATTAATTATAAAACAACTTATTAGTAAGCGTTACTACATTTATTTGAAGACGTTATTTATTCGAAGTAACAAATTTCAGGTCTTTAATAGAAATCAGCAGCTCTTGGCCATGCTATCACACGCACTATCGTGGCCAGTCGTTTTCAAGAAAAAAGTCGGCTTAGCTTGTGACTCGTTTGGCAGCAGATATATAGAAGACCTGTATTATAGATGAAGATAAATAACAAAGCGGGTCGATAGGTACCTTTGTGCTTCTTACTCGCGTAGAACTCAGCGCCGTGGACGGTTTTCACGTGCTTCCTCAGCGACGACGGATCAGTATACCGTTTGGTGCAACCCGGCGCTTTGCAAACGTATGGTTTCTGTGAAAATTATGTTTTTCCTTAATTTAAATCGCAGACTTGAAGATTTCTGTATTCCTACAAAGTAAAAGGTAGCTCAGAACTTCGTCCAATATTTCAACGGATTGGTATCCTTCAAAAGTAGAAATTACGATCAAAACGTACTAGATGTTAAGTTCAACATAGAGCTGATGATGAAATCGCATGTTTATTTTTGAATTAACTTGAAGTTCTTACAATTGTTATAGACGTAATTTAGCTTTTAAGGTTGCTTTTACATTACCTCGTTGCTGTGGGTCCTGTTTTGGTGCTTGGCTCTATCGCTGGCGTTGGAGAAGGCCTTGGCGCAGCCGGGGTACTCGCAGGTGTAGGGCTTTTCCCCGGTGTGACTTCGAAGGTGGGTTTTTAAGTTCTCAAGCCGGGAGTAGGCTTTGCAGCAACCCTCGAACTGGATTAAACGACAAATGATAAAAAACGAGCTAAGGTATTGGGTTTAAACCCTACCGGCAACAAGCTTGTCGCCTGTCACGCTCTGTGAATTAGGCCAAAAGTGCAATCTACTCCAGTGGAAAGCTCTGGCTCTGTCTGCTACCGTTAGGTCTACAGAATGCATAAGCTTATATACATTTATAGTCAAAATTACTTACAATATATAGTGTATAGGTAATACACTTATAAGTGATTTTCTGTTCTTATTTTCATAACATAGCTATATTAGACAGTTCAACGAGCGGAATGCCCATTATGCAAGCTGATACTACAACACAAACTACTGCCACAGTAGAACTGTTGCACGAATGGGTAGGTCCGTACAAAAGAGTACCACGACCTCACAAGAAACCGGCATGAAGTGTTATTCTGTGTTTCGTCTGGTGAGTGAGGTAACTGGAGCCCACTTCATTGAAAGGTAGAAAACAAATGGCCAATATCTCCTAACATTAGGTGAACCGCCAGCTTGTTTGACATTATCTTACATAAAAAAATTGTGACGATATTTATTGACGAACAAAACACCGCTATAAAGGGGCCACAGTCAACCAATGGACTTCTTAACCTCGGTGCCGAACTCCAGTCTCTCGTCACCTCAACGAGGCTGTGTGCCGGATTCGTGACGTCACTAACCGTCACCTCGACGGGGCCCCGTGATGGATCCGTGACGTCACTCACCGTGCATTTATGCGGCTTCTCGCCCGTGTGCCTCCGCATGTGCACGACGAGCATGTACTGCGCCTTGAACGGTTTCTCGTCCCTGGAGCAGCCCACCCAGCGGCACACGAACGCCTTCTTGCTCGCGTGTATGTGGTCCGTGTTTATGTGCTTCACCAGGTCGTCCTGGGTTGGGAACTCGAGCTTGCAATCCACCTGGAGGGAGATATTTGTTAGGAAGACATGTGGAACGCTAAAGATGTCCCTCCCGCTGAGTTTCTTCTACCTGGAGGGGGAAATTTGTTAGGAAGACATGTGTAACGCTAAAAATGTCCCTCCCGCTGAGTTTTTTCCACCTGGAGGGGGAAATTTGTTAGGAAGACATATGGAACGCTAAAAATTACCCTCCCGCTGAGTTTCTTCCACCTGGAGGGGCAGGTTATTTGTTGGGTGGACATTTGGAACTCTCCCGCTGTGTTTCTTTCGCCCGTTCTTCTCAGTTCAGTGGCTTTTCTTCTTCGTGCAGGTGGTAGCGTTTTGACAAACGATCAGTAAGCGTAATGTAGAAGCATTTGGAAACTTTTCACATAAAAAAATTACCCAATGGCAGTTTGTTTCGATGAAGTCTCCGGGCTCGTCTTTGGAGTCCAGGCCATCGTGGACGGTGCTCTCTGCGGCTGCAGACAGTGGCTTGTTGCTGTGCAGGCTCTCCCTGTGGCACATCAGGCCTTGTGGCGACTTCCTCTGGTTCAGGGCCGTCGACGCGCTGCGGATAGGGAGTGAAATCTCGGTTAAGTGTTGGTTTGGTTTATGATAGCTCAGTGTCCTCTCTCACTTTTCATTATACTCAAGCGACTTGAGATCGAACGGTGCCGGTACAATGAAATTGTTAGTTGCTTAAGTTCTGACTTGTCTCGTGCGGTGGGGGAAAACGTCGTGAGGACACCTGAATATTTTCGAAATGATGATATATTATATAGGTCAATACGAGACCTTTGCTCAGTAGTGGGTCACATATAGGCTGATACTTAACTTTATTCGTTCATTTCAAAGAGTTTTCATTGTTGGCCCTAAAAATAGTGTATTGTAAGTTAATTTTTATATAAAACTAAGACTTTTAACACAGAGGTGACGTTCAGGACACAAACACTATTTACCGGTCATTGCCATGGTTCAAGCGTGTAAAAGACCCCTTCCATCTATAACGTATCCATGAAAGACTACGTAGAAATGATGATAAGAGTTCACAGTGACATGCTGCTGAACTGCATATATTTTAAATGGTACGGCAAGCTGTGTCAAAATATTCTGCACTGTAAAACATCGTCGACTAAAAGGAAATGGTGTGCTGGTTTTAACAATATTTATATTCGCCATCCTATACTCTAAATTACCTGTCGGCTTCCATTACACTGGTGATCTCAGGCTGCTGAGGCGGCTGCTGTAAGTGTTGAGGTCCATTGCTCTCCAGGCCCAGGCCTTGCCTCACATCTACGGGACCGCCTAGCAGGAGTTGAGTCGGCGACGATATGTGAGATCTGGAAACAAAACGAAAAAGTAAGATAATAAAGTTATAAATATAGTCTACTAATATTCAATACTTATTTACAGATCACCACCGAAATAGTATTATCGTGTAAAAATTCCGAAAGAACTTCAAGATAAAATCACACGTCATATCTAGTACAGTATCGGTGTCTCTGGAACGTTTTACGAACACTCAAGAACATCTGGAACGATACGCCATTAAGAATTTGGCGGGAACATCACGTAAGTCAATATGTTCCATACTTATGGAGGAGCCGTGGTAGCTTAATATCCGGGGGCTCGCTTCTAATTCAATATACTCAACCCACCCGATTTCAATCGCCGGTGCCAGCATTAATGAAATTGTTAATATTATTGCTGACTCGTCGGACGTGCTCAGCGGTGAAGGAAAATATCGTGAGGAGACCTGCATATTGCAGAATGCATATTTTCGACATAAAAACCAAAAGAATACTTCGAAGATATTTAAAGTCCAATCCGTAGTGGACTATGCCCTGATACCCTGTGTACAGAGGACTTTGCCCGGCAGTTACTGTATAGTAACCGTTAACCGTTGGTGAAGAAAGGTTCTCGAGCGGCGGCCTCGTACTGGCCATCGCAGTGTAGCACGACCCCCCACTAGGTGGAGTGACGACTGACCTGTGCAAATGTGCGGGAAGTCGATGGATGCAGGTGGCACAGGGACATCGTGGCAATCTAGCGGGGGGCCTTTGTTCAGCAGTGGACTCAAACAGGCTGAAATGATAATGACGATGGTACTTCGTGGCAGACTGTGGGGGAGGCCTACGTTCAGCAGTGGACTCAAACAGGCTGAAATGATGATGATACTGTTTAGAGTGTTGCTCTACCTGTGGATCCCGGCGACTAGGTGGGCGTGCGCGGCGTGGTGGGCGGCCGCGGCAGCCGCTTGCTGGTGGGCGGGGTCGAGGAGCACGCCCCCAGCCAGCACCCCGCTGCCGCCCACGCCGCCCCTCGCCAGCAGCTGCTGCGCCAGCGACGCGTGCGAGAGCGACAGCGCCGGCGAAATCGCGCCTGGAACCAAAATCGAGACTGAAACTTCGCCCCAGTTGAATATAGGACCGATTTACAATACCTGAAACGGAGGGCTAGACCAAAGTCAGATTTACAGTAGGTACCTGGAATGGAGCACGATACTGAAACGACTTAAATGCCCCACGTGACGATAGGACCGGTCAAAGTCAATAGTTAATAGTCGAAGTCAAGGTCGAAATTTCTTAATTCAATGTAGGCTTGTTTTAAGCTCTTATATAACGTCAAAAAACTAATAACGGTTCACTAATTTAGACCGGTTGGAAGTAGAACCGGCATGAAAATGCGGGGTCTTTTTCTCTAGTCAATTAGTCAGGTTATCGACCATGCAACACTTAACGCAAATGAATTTCGTCTTAATCATGTCGCCACGCTTTCTCGTCTGCGCCGCAGTCAAGGTAATTAGTATCACACTCGTGCGTACTCAAGTTTTATGCGAATCATAACTGTTGCTAAGTCGAGACCCGAAAGACAAGCATGCGTATAAACAACTGTAGATATTAGTAGATTGGAAAGTTTCTTTTATTAAGTAATGTGCTTGAAATAAAAATAGTGGAGTACTGATTAAAACGATCAAACGAAAATAATCTCGCTGGTGGAAGGGAAAAAAATAGTTACATTTACATACCTACATAAATAATTAATATACACATAAAACGAAACAATACGCGCGAGCAATCGATCTCAAGTTATGTGGAGGAAAATATCAAAAGAATTGGCCATAAATTACCGAAAGACTTAATCCAATCCTCACCAGCACTAAGGTGCCCATAGCTGCCGGTGGAGGCGGCCGACGGTGCTCTCACCGCCAGGCTGGCCGGGGACGCCCGGATGACTGCGGCGAGGTCCAAAGATTCTGCAGAATAAGGACTCCAGGATACTGCACGTTTGCGATTCGCCGACGCGCTTATCGCGCCCCCGGATAGCCTTAACCGCGTGGGGGAGGCTATTCTCGATCCTGGAACGTGGAGACGAATTCAAATGATAGACTGTAAATGCCCAAAATGGCAGAGCCATAAGAAACAAATCTTATTCGAGATATAGAGCATAATGGTAGTGGTCTACGGTGGTGGTCTACGGTGGCATGGTGGTGGTCTACGGTGGTAGGGCCACGCAGCAGCCTCGGCTGTTGCACGAATGGGCAGGCCCGTCCGGGTAAGTACCACGACCTCACAGAAGACCAGCGTAAAGCGGAAGTATGACAAATACTTTCGCGTTTCGTCTGGTGAGTGAGGTAGCCGGAGCCCAATTTTCAAAAGGTTGTCAACGCTTCTGTAACCCTCGGGTGTAGCAGATGTCCATGGCCATAAAAAAAAAATAATGGGGAACTGACCTCCATTCATTTATGGAGACGAACACGAAAAAGAAACTGTCAATTAAACGTGGTACGGAAGCAATTCCCGCAGATCTTTCCGCGAATGTGTCGATAATTCGTTTCGATTTATTATTCTTTTTTTTTTTGTTGCATGCACTATAGTTTTATTTTTTTATGTTGCCTGTATGAAAGTATCTATATGCGTATCTACATGGTAAAACTTCCTCAAAAAACAGTGTCTTGACCTTTTTGGAAGATGAATAACACAATAATAACGAAAATATATTATGCAACATTTTCGTTATTATGTTTCTCGTTTCGTTTGTGTTCCTTACTTTAAAAAGTAAAATAAGGAATTCTTATAAGATCAGTCTCTTGTCCGTTTGTCTGCCTCTGTATCACCACCGTTTCTCAGGAACGGGTGGATCTAGCAAGTTCAATTTACACCAGCTACTGAGGTCTATAGTCGATATAGGTCTATAGGTGTAAAATGAAGGCCCTGAGTCAACACGATAAAAATCTAGATCAAGGATGAGCAACGCGCGGCCCCTTAAACATGTTTATGCGGCCCGCCAAGCATTTCTAAAATTGAATTTATTTTATCGAATTTCTCCCATCAATATATTGTTATAAAATTAATTATAGTAAAATATGGTAGTATATACTGAACCGACATAATTTTTTTCGTTTTTCTTGTTTGTTTTTACCTTGCATTAAAATGTTTATATGAAATCTTTACTTTTTTAATTTTATATTTTTTTATTCTAATATATATTATAAAGTTTTGTAAATTATTATGTGCCGCTTGCCAAAAAAATTTGAAATTTAAATTGGCCCACCTAGATCATTGTTAAAAATACTCGTAAATGTTTTTGCTTTTAAGTAAATTTTGTATTATTCCTTATGAGCATAATAATTGAAACCGATGCTCACCTTCTAGACTCAGTTGGAAGTCTTGACTCGTAAGCGTGCTGCCGGCATGCAGCTCAGGGTGCAAGCTTCTCGCCGCACTTAGATACTCTAATCCTGAAATAAGAAAGGTATCCTTAAAATGAGATATTCAATACGGGTGTAGTGAGGCGTTATATCTCAATTGTTGATACAACTTGCGTTCCTATAAGGAACCAAATACATAGAATTTTCCACCGTTGATATATTTTGTTGGTAGCTTAATGTTCTGGTACACGTAATTGAAAAATCGCTACTAAACCCCTGTACTGAAAAATAATCAATCTGCTATTGTGCCTGTAAAAATTCGCATGAAGTCCGACTCATGCTGGAGTTAAAACCAAAAGCCATACAAAAGTTAACAATTTTGATCGGAATTAATAATAATAAGGCCATTAAATATATATATACATATGTGATAACCCTCTCGTGGCGCAGTTGCTAAGGTATTTCGACGCCAGGGGTCATAGGTTCGATTCCCACAAGAGACAACTATTGGTGTGACCCATAATTGTTTGTGATCTGGGTGTTTGTCTAAGTGAAATTTATGCATGTAAAATGTCCTTGCAACTCAGGGCAATGTTATCGTACAGTAAGTGCAATGTTCTCAATTTTAAAAAATGTAGTCATAAAGTCGGTATACTGTCATCGGTACATATCTAATTATATCTTTTCTACTTGATTGTATTTCATGTACCTGTACGTATATTACATTTATAAACCCAACTAGACGAGAAAAAACCGAATATTCTATTATAATAATATGTAATCAATCTAGCAATAACCTGTGCTATAAAAGAAACTTCGTGGTACACTTAGCACACTTAACAGACAGAGTTTATATGGGTTATTTTTTAAAATAAAATATGAATAAACGTAATTTCAAATATTAATAAATATACATGTAATGCGTAGTATTACATGTCGTCAAAGTCAAAGTATATTTATTCAATACAGGCCTAACTTAAGCTCTTATTGAACGTCAACAAAAAATCTACCACTAAACTAGACCTGCACAGAGAAGAACCGGCAAGAAACTCTGCGGTCTTGTTCTTTTTGTTATATTTTTTTTTATGCAATTATACACACTTATTTAGGTATAAAATCAGCAGCAGCCAGGGGTCTTGCAAGTGCAGAGCAAGAGTCATTTCCAAACATCCTTGTCCTCAATGTATTCTTGGATATTATAGAAAGAAAGTAAGAAAGAAAGAAAGAAATTATTATTAGTCATTGAATGACGGTGTGAACGTCCGTACGTCACTTAATTCACAGGCCCACTGAAAACCAGCGCTGTAGTCTCGTATCGACTGCGGCATTAAGCTGAGTGCGGTCTGTCTGCCGTATACGCCACACACAATTGTGTGCGTAAAATGTGTATTTTATGTGGCGTATTTGAGCAATAAATGTTTTCTTTCTTTCTTTCGATATTATAGTAGGCCCTTGCCATTAAGGTAGCTTTTACAAATTGTCTGAAATTGTTTATACATACGTCATTTCATTAATCAAAATAAAACCAAAGTTAAAACATAATAATTTCATCAATTAAACATGTTAATTAAATAATTATTTCATCAGCCAAACGAACTATATTAAAAAAAATAGAAACCGACACGCACACATAGATATGAGAATATAAAGCGGACATGCCAAAGCATTAGAAGTGGATATCGCGAACAATATAGACATTTATTATTACAACGTCAATGTTTATATTGATCGGGTGCTGTTAAAAATACCTCAGCTGTAAAAATTACCGGTTTATCGCGGCCCATAAAAGTCGCCGCGATCCGCTTAGAATTTAATAAGACCCATACAAAGGAATCTAGCGCATATTTATAAGGCAACCAATCATGCCGTGCTAGTCATAGCGGACAGTAATAACTGCAAATTGAGATGTCAACGAGTTGGGAGCAGTTTGAATATAAACTGCCTGCTTATCGCCGTAGGTGATTAATAAATATACGGCGACGGTGTTTTATGAGTGTTTTCGCGTTAACCCGTGCCCGGTGCCACCAAATAAGACGACGGTGAACAAACATGCTGCGAAGATAATCGTAATTTGAATTTTTAAATAACCGTCTTCTGTCGCTGCGCGACACTATCGATTAATGTCGATTGTCGATTAACTATTATTGCACGGTGGCGCCCGAGTAATAGAGACCTCGCCTGGATGTTAAAGAGCTCATGAAATAAAAATATTCACAGGCGCGTCTTTAGATTACGTAACTTTATGTCTTTGAGGAAGTTAGCAGAATACCATCATAGGGTATTCGCGTGTAATTAAACAATTGCAAAACACCGGATTAAAATTCATAGCACCGTAGAAACTTTTAAAATGTTATTTTGTTGAATACTGTAAAAACTTTTTAGAATCACTTCATAAGTTGTATTTGTGATGGATGTTCGAGTTGTGTCTAGTATCCTCTGTACAGAGGATATTAGGGCGTCTACAGACACACATCATACTTTATTTATTTATTTTAACTTTTACATAAAAAAATAAACATTATGTTTAGGCGAACTTAATGCCTAAGCATTTTATCCCAGTCAACCTAAGAGGGACGCAGAGACAAAAGAGGCAGGTGTAAAAAGTTTCAAATTACATATTATGTTAAAATAAAAGTTATATACATATTCATATATAATTAAATTTAAAACATATACATGAAAATATATAACGTATAGAATGTAATTAATTACTTACGAGTGATTTTAAATATTTCTCATTTTTATATAACATTATTTATGTCTGAATCTAATAAAAAATGGACTTAGAAAAGCCATCCTGTATAAACATATTAAACCCAAAACTATATTACATTATTTAAAGATTCCAAATAGAATACCATAATATTCATAAATACACATACTTCACACATCACAACAGACTTTACATATCTTAGAAATATTTTTTTTGTTTCTATTATTTCGAAAATATGCAGGTTTCCTCACGACATTTTCCTTCACGGTTGAGTACGAGATTAATCAACACTTAAAATTTATGATTTCATTGATGCCGGTACCGCGTTTTGAACAAAGGATTTATCACGGCAAAAAAACTTATAGTACTAAACTTAGTGTACACTAATGTATTTAAAATTTATGTAACACTTGTGTCGTATTGTATTTATAACAAATGCTAGTTGCTTATTAACTTAATTATTTTAAAATAAAATAAATGAAAGTTTCGTAAACATTTACTTAAAAATCTAAAGCATAAGTTAGAACTTAAACTGCATAACGTTAATTTTTTATATTTATGTTAATCTAAGATGTAGACGAAATAGTAGAAGAAATTAAATGATTTTAAATTAGTAATGGTAAGAGGCACCTAGGGCAGGCTTAGTAACTGTATCATCGATAAGAATACAACTTATTGAAAACTAACGTATATCGATAACTTGTATTGTTTTCGTGTCAATAAATATTTTTAATAGAGCATATTTCATAAATGAGTCGCTTTTCTTTGCAAATAAAGAAGACAGCCCTGGGAAAGGTTACTTGGATCGCGACGTACTCGTATCCACATTTTCCATATTGAACAATGTCATGGATCCGAAGACGGCGGATTTTATTACCCGCTTTATTAGTAGCCGTAAGCCGTAAATTTGCGAGCTGGCGAAATAATGAGCGACGTTTTCGAACACTCCGCTTTACGTTTTGTCCAAAACATTTATACACGATAACTTTTAGTGGGCAACAAAACACGGTGTTTACGGCTCGATCCGAATCGAAGTTTGTTAAGTTAATATAAATTGTAATGACAGTAAAACGTGATTATTCTTTATTTGTACGATGACTATTTTGTGCTACTTCATTTAAAAGTGGGCCTAATCATAATGTTGATATTATTATTATTTTTATAGAGTATGTTGAGTTATGTACGGTGTTTCATAGAGTACTTATTATTAGGTCGGTACGATTGAAAAATATTATGCATAATTCATTACTCAGTAATTTGTATCTAAATGTAATTTCCAAAATACACGATTTACAAAAAAAATCAAACCGAGCAAAGCTCGGTCCTCCAGGTACTATATAATAATACACTTAATTTTTTTAGTCTTAAAGCTTACCACATACCACTAAGGGGGTGAAGAGGGGTTAAAAATTCTAAAAAAACATCACGTGATTAATGAACGACCCCTTTGAACAATGTCGTAATTGTGGTGTTGGTAAGTAAAGGAACTTATGGAATCTCAGTTTTAATAGCCAAAATTTTGTTAAAAAACTAAACACTTTGTAACAGATTTAAGTGACATAAGACAGCAGTTTCCTTGAAGTACGCCACTAAACTAATCCTTCATGAATGAACTACGAATATATGGGCGCAAATTTATATGTTATTATTATATTGTTGCAAAATATTAATTTTATTTAAGATTGATCTTTAAATAACTTTTTGTGATCACAAAACTGAGAACCTCAATACTGTTAAATTATCAGGCATTGTATTGTCTGCTTAACTGTTTTAAAAAACATTGGATATTTAATTAATTAATTTAATTTATTACTTAATTATTTATAGAACTCCAGAAACTTTCAAAGTAAAATCGATTAGAATTAAATAACATTGTTCTGACACTTATTTTATGTTTTGTGTAATAAAGAACATCTGATTACGTTTAAATCTTGTTAGCTGCGCCACCTGTTGACGAACTTGGTTAAGTGGTGTTTGTTTATTAAAATAATTTAGTAATTTGTGTAAAATAAATAATTTGGAGTTATGTAAAATTCATTATAATGTTAGTATTAATTTTTGGACTATATTTCATAATTAAGTAATTTCAATTAATGTTGTAAAGGAAGTTGCAGTTGTTAAATGTTGACTTTTAATGACAGTTGGTTTATATAAAAGGGATTGCAGCTCACATTCAGGCCAGTTCTGTGCTAGAAATCGTCTGAAAGTAAACCAAGTGATATTACGTGTTTGTGTTTTTATTATAATGGAGTCTGGACGCGATATTTCCGGCCTATCCCCGACAAATATATCAATAAATTTTAATAAATGAATGCATAATTAAAGGTTGTAAACAATCATAAGGCAAATAATTAATTATGATAACTTATGGCAAATT